TTCATATCCTTTTCCGCTTCTAAAAGTTTCTCTGTAAGCTCTTCAGTCTCTTTAATTTTCTTTTCTGGAAAATTCCTTACAGCATTCAGTTCAGACTCTGCTTTATAAAGTTTATTGACTAAATCTTGTTTTATCTTATTTGAACTTCTAATTTCATCATCTAATTCACTCCTTTCAGAATCCATAATTTTCTCAAGTTTATTAATCTTATAATTCAAATCATTCTCAACTCTTTCCAATGTTGTTTTATGATCTTTTTGTAAACTTGCAATAAGTTCCACATTAGCATAATTCTCAGAAAACATGTTTATGAATTTGTCTTTATAATCCACTATACTATTTTCCAGCATGGAAAATTGAGTTCTCAACACTTTATTCTCCTCCTCAAGAATATCTGCCATTTTAAACAAAAATAAGATTGATCAGATATAGGATCTATACAGTTCAAGAAAAATGATCAAAGAAATAATATCAAAAAATATCACACAGTTACACACAATTTCTTTTAAAAATTCAAAAAATCCAACACTTAGACAAAAATTTCTACCAATTTCAAGATTTAACAAACTAAGAAGTTCTGACAACAAATACAGATAAGATATATGTAGTCAAAGTGTAAACTAGTCAACTAGCAATCCGATCAAAACAACTGTTGTCCGGTGAAGAAATACGGACAAAATGAATATGGTCAAAGATCAATCAAGTCAACAAGCAATCCAAACAAATGATGTCCGATGAAGAAATCCGGATAAGAAAATGGAAATCCGGATAAATTTGTTCACAGTATATTAAAACAGTCAATGGAAGTTTTAAATTGCTCAATGCAGTCAAACATGCATGCTGTCAAAACCCGGTTACCAAACAGATTATCAAACAGTCTAAACTGTTCAAGAACCAGCCACCTATCCTGCTCTAGATAGCTCAACAAAGTTTCTTAATCCAGTTGTACACCGCTCACTACATTAAAAAATATCTCCTGCTACTGCATGATCTTAAGTCGCTCAAGAAGATTACTTAAACTGATCAATTACTAGCCTAAACCGCTCACAACTATGCTTAACTCGCTCAATGTTTAATCCTCTCAAGGAGTGATTTAAACAGCACAAAACAACTCAAAAAAGTTGATTAAATCAATCAAGATGCTGTTGTAACACACTCAAGATACTAAGCTCTAAACCGCTCAACCTATGTAATTAAATCACTCAGTCCAGTCCGTTCAACAACCAACTACTAATCCGGTCAAAGCAACTTCAAGTCTGATCAACACTGGTTCCTTATACAGTCAAGATCGCTCAAGCTATGTTGCTCATTCGCTCACTACATGGCCTTTAATCTTTCGAGTCTACACACAACATAACCTATATGCACTCAAGAGATGTCTGATAAAGAGCTAAATTGCTCACCAAGAAAACATCTAAATCGCTTATTGGTTTCTAAACAGCTCAAAGCAAAGCTCCTTATCCGGTCACTAAACAGTCTTAAATCACACAAAACACTGTTAAACACGCCTTAATCGCTCACAGTCAACTAAGTTGCACAGGCTATGCTGCTTATTCGCTCACTTCATGAGACTCAGAATCTGCTACTATAAGTACACTCAACATCCGCTCAAGACAACTTCTTAAATCGTTCAAAGCTTTTCTATGTTGACCGAATTTGCTTGAGATGTACTAAGCATGATTACTGCAGAAGCTTTTCTGAAAACTGAGTTTACTGCACGAATAAGAAATCAGTCAACACACAGACAATTTACAGCTATAAATCACACAGCTATAAATTTCAAGAAAGTTATTAACCACTGGACAATATACAACTATTCTTTATAGGACAATAACAACTTATCCGCTCAATACATTCTATATATCCGGTCACAGCTTGTATGTAAATCGTACAAAGTTTTTAACTGTTGGTCAAACAACTGCCTTTTATCCACTGGTCACAACTATTTAAATCCGCTGGTTAAACCGCTCACTTGATGTCCGAATACGGTCAATCCTCGCTCAAGGGGTGTTCGAATTCTCTTAAATCGCTTAAATACTTAGTCTAGATGATCTTATCCGGTCAAATACTTGCTGCCTCAAATCTTGAACATCCACCAAGTATAGATCGCTCAATTTACTTCCTGCAGATTCTAAACCGGTTTACTAACAAGATTCAATTGTAAAAGACAATCAAATAAGATCAAAGACAGCCCTCAAACACAAACATTACAAAAACTCAGAAAAAATTTGGATCAAAATCTAACTTTTTTTGAAGAATTTAGCAAGAACACGAAGAACATCAAAAATTTAAAATTCTTCAGATCTTTAAAGATTGATGATCAAAAAGCAAAAACAGATGAACAATGAATTACAAAAAAAAAATGAACACAACAGACATGATTTTAACACCTAAACATCTACAAATGAGAAAAAATTTTAAAAAATTTAAGATCTAGGATGAACAATCAAGAACACAATGAATCTTAAAAAAAATCTCCAGAAAATTTGTGTAGATCATGATTATTTCTTCAATCATTCTTCCTGCAAACATGCTCTGATAACAATTGAAATTCCCAATCTCATACAAACATGATTATGATCTTCAAGAATTAAGATGAAGAGAGAGTAGATCACCAAATCTCTTGAACAATTGAGAGAAAAAAATTACAAAGCTAATTTCATATTACAATTGCTAATGACTTGCTAATGATAATTACAAAGGAAACTCTTATTTATACTAAGAAAACAATAAACCTACACTATTACAAAACATGTGAAATATGGAGAACTTGAATACAATAATAATGCTCATACTCGAACCCAACACTATCATAGATCCGATTTTACGGTAATAGCAAAAAAACATAAACTAATCACCATCTAACATCAATATCATGTTATACAACCATCTTATAACATGAAAATACCAAAAATCCCAACCACATGAAACCCTAGACTTCTCAAATCCTTAACAAAACATCAAACAAATCATGAAATGAGTTCAAGATAGTGTTGTACATTTGCTTAATCTTTCAATTTCACCAAAAATCTTGTTAAATCTCCTTGATTTTGAGCTTTGAAGAGTATACCTATGTGAAAATTGCACCTTCTAGTGTGTGTGAAAGTTCTGGAGGTGTAAATACCATTAAAGAGTGCAAATTTCCTGTCAACCTAGTTTGACACTGTTGGCAGATTTAGTCCCTCATGCGTATCTTGGTCGTTTCAACTCCGTTTCGCACGAAACTTTTCAGATCTCTTAATTAATTTATAAGAAGCTTAAGTATAAAATTTCAGCCTCTAATTCGATCTAGAGGTCCATATTCTAATTTAACTTTGATATTTTTCACTTATTTACTACAACAACATGAGTTCCTCTATATGGCCTTATAGTGCACACTTAGACACATTTTTATGCATTTTTATCATTTTCACTTTTCAACTAACATAAGTAAGCACAAACCCATAATATACTTTATTGACTTAGTTAAACATGTTTAGCAACATAAATGGAAGAAGTAAGTTGGATGTTACATTCTCGTGGCAATTTTGACATTATGAATATTCAGATTGTAAATCTAATCCAAGGGTTGAGAATTGGTCTTACGGGTCTCAGGAAAAACCATTGGTCTCACGTGATCCCAAGTCTATATACATATGTACATGTACATATGTGTACATATACAGGTGTACAATACACACACACACACACACACACACACACACACACACACACATATATATATATATATATATATATATATATATAGGGGAGCGATCAAATGCAAACCACT